CCGGGCCGTCCTCGGACTCCGGCCCCGAAGCCGGCTCGCAGCGCCTGCTGTTCTCTCACGACCTGGTATCGGGCCGTTACCGCGGCTCGGTGCACTTCGGACTGGTGCGCCTCATCCACGGCGAGGACTCGGACTCGGAGGGCGAGGAGGAGGGCCGCGGCAGCTCCGGCTGCTCCGAGGCTGGGGGCGCCGGCCACGAGGAGGGCCGGGCCAGCCCGCTGCGCCGCGGCTACGTGCGCGTCCAGTGGTACCCGGAGGGCGTCAAGCAGCATGTGAAGGAGACCAAGGTGCCGCAGGCGGGGGGGCGGGCGGGCGGGGCGGGGAGCCGGGCTGGAGGTGAGGGCGGAGGGGCTCGGCTGCCCCGGCGCGCGGCCGGGAGGCTCTGCCCGCAGCGGTGCCACTGCAGTGGCCGCGGTGGGAGGACAGCCTCGGCAGAGGGTGCGCCCCATGCAGTCACTGCGCCAGCCTGGGCGCACACGCCAGCCGGGCACCGCCGGCCTGGGACCCGGCTCTGGGCTTGCCGGCTCGAGGGGGAGGGGCCTTGCGAGCCATGCGATGCTGTGGTGTTAGCCTCTAAATGACAGACGTGGACCGACGCCCGTGGGGACCTCCTCAGGCTCTGAGAAGCTTTCGGCATTACACCAGTGCGGCGTTTTGCTGACCCCCAAGGAGCTCTGTGCTGCATTGTGCATCAGAAAGGAAGGCCGTGCCGGGTCCGTGCGGGGAGGGGTTGTGGGCATTCCAAAAACAAAGATAGAGGTGAAAACGCCAGCCCATGTAAAAACCCAGGAAGTTCACTGGATTGCAGAATACGTGATGGGGAAGCAACCCAGCCTCTTTTTGTTTTACCTTGCTGCCTCATTGTAATTGCTGCGGGAACTTTGTGAGTAAAATCATTAACAATCACAGCCATGATATTAATAGTACTGGGGAAGATGGTGACAGCTGCGACTGGGATTGATGGCTCCTAAGTGCATTTGGACTTCTTGAAAAAAAATAAATAATAATATAGAACCAGGGTGACAGAAGGATGACCAGTTTGGAAACCTACAGGGTTTTTCTTGGCCTAAGACTGTTAAGCAAATATCCAACTCTCATATGGCATTGGAATGAGGATGGTGAATATAGCAGTTTTTATAAACAAAAGGATATATCATCATAAACCTGAAACCTTGAACTAAGGTTGGTTTGGTGACTTGTTTTCCTGAGTGTGAATTCCTATCAGTGATTCACACACACGAACACACCTCTGTATCTCACACCCCTTCTTCCTTCTTCTCCTCCCTCCCCTCTCCTTCAAGAAAACATTTTTTTTTTTTTTTTTTTTTTGCAGTGCTGGGATTGAACCCAGGATTTAACACATACTAGGCAAACTCCACCACTGAGCTACACGCCAGTCCCAAGAAAATATTTCTCAGCATGTCAGGCCTGCACTGTATTAGGTCCCTGGGAGGTTAAGATGTCTGATTTCAGAGGAGGCACTTCAGAAAATAATCTGGGTTTTTCATACTGGGAGACAAAAGGCTACAGAGGAATGGGGCTTAGTGCCACACTACAAAGGGAGTGGTGACAACAGCTTGGACAGGAAAAAGGCCCACTCCCCAGAAGAGCCTGTGATCCATTTCCTAGTGGCAAAAGTGACTGCTGACACTGTCAGGGTCTCTTTCACACTAATGTACATATGTCCACAGCTACAGATCCACACTTCAGAACCAACTTCCCTTGAGAGAAATACAAATCAAGAAACAGCTTCTCTGACTAGGAAAGCAAATTGTAAGTTCATCCATAAAAGTATTTGGAAAGTATAACATTTTGCAGCAGAATACATATTAAAAATTGCCACAAGTATCCTGTTGGGAAAGATGGTTATTGCTCCTTATATTGTGTGTGTCTCCTGGCAGATAGTCAATAGTGACTTTCTTAAGTTTTAAAATGTTTTTCACCAATCCATCATTTTTAGAGGCTTGTGACTTTTGAAATGCAGCTTATTTGACTTCAGAGTCGGGTGTCTTGTGTGCCATGGCCTCCTGCCCTGAGACTCAGGGAGGCCGGCCCAGCCCACTGCTGGGAGCTGCCATGTTTATCAGTTGTTATTCCTGTTCATCTTGACTTTGGTGGTTAACTTTGTTTACAGTTATGTTCTGCCTACCCCCCACCCCTGTGTGTAATTATACAAAGTTTGGCTTAAAATACCTATTTTGGAGTTAAATAGAAAACAGCTTTAAGGTATCTGCTTAGATGGATTTAATTACATATACACACACACTCTCTCTCTCTCTCTCTCTCTCTCTCTCTCACACACACACATATATATATAAATATATA